GTAGCATCGAATTTTGATGGGTGACCAAGGTGCCTGATGCTCGCAAGGTATAAGCTAGACACGTCCTTCATTCCCCATGAGGCAGTGCACCATGGTGCAGCCGCCCCCATGGTGCTCGCATCCCCATGGTGCACGCATCCCCATGGCTCGCATCCCCATGGCTGGCCTCCCCATGGTCCTGAACACCATGGGCATTTCTCCATGGGCAAAATCTTGTGACCATGGTGAATCACGGATCACCATGGTCAGCCATCCCCATGGCCCAGCTCATGGTTTTTTTAGCCTGGGGCTGAGGGACGCCAAAAGGGGGCGCCCCACATAAGGACGAGGCTTTTCGCATTGCAGTCACGTGGCAGCCAAAACAACGTCATGTAAAGCAAGATAACGGCCTGTCTCTGTCTGACCTGGCGACTGTCTCTCTCTGACCTGGCGACTGTCTCTCTCTGACCTGGCGACTGTCTCTCTCTGACCTGGCGGCCGGCCTTGCTGCCCCCTCTCCAAATCAGATTGGAGCGGAGAACCCGCCCCTCTCGACGCGTGTATTCAGTCTGCTCCGGACGCCAGTTAGAGAGACATCGAGATCAGATAAGCGCTCCGTCTCACTCAAGTATTTCCAATTGTTGTCCGTATCGTCTCGCCAAACTGAATATCAGAGAGAAAAAAAAAAAGAGAGAGAGAGAGAGAGAGAGAGAGAGAGAGAGAGAGAGAGAGAGAGAGAGAGAGAGAGAGATAACGACGATGAGCTGGAATATTGACAAGAAGGAATCGCTTTGTGTGAAAACGATTGGTCGAATTGACTTGGTCCTCCTGCAGCCCTTTGAGCGAGTAACCGAATCATATTGTGTCTGCGCTGCTGGGACTGAGGTGCTTCCACTTCCCCAAGAAGAACTTTTTTTTAACCGTCATTCCGTTCAAACGCACACCGCGGCTCAGCATGTGCCAAGAGCGTGGCAGCATAATGTGACCATTTATTTCTGCTAATTCTGTCTGTCTGTCTGTCTGTCTGTCTGTCTGTCTGTCTGTCTGTCTGTCTGTCTGACTGACTGACTGTCCGCCACGCCCGTATCGTGCCCTAAACTTTCATAAACATTGTCAGGGCCGGCCGGGCTGTGCGGGGCCCCCGGCGGGGCCGCGGGGGCTCCAAGGGACAGAGAAAAAGGGGGCTCCGCTGCGCCCTGCCTGCGCCCTGTGCCCTCGCCCCGTCCGTGTGGAGATCCGCCAAACCATTTGTCGAGGCAACGACAGCGCGGGTCAGCCGGGCCCGCCTTCCCCCACGAGCTGCTCACAAATATTCAGTACATGCTCTCCTGCCACGGCCACCGTCAGCGGCCACGCCCCGCCCCGCCCCGCCCCGCCCCGCCCCGCCCCGCCCCGCCCCGCCCCGCCCCGCCCCGCCCCGCCCCGCCCGGGGTCGATGGTCAGGCACGCCCGGCCACTAACCACCTATATCTTTGCGCGCGCCGCCCCCCTCCCCCCACCTCCATCACGGCGCAACGCGGCGCGGCGTGCAGCCACGCACTTCACCCGCGGAGTGAAAGAGGAAAAAATAATATGTAGAGGCGAGTTTTTCACGATTAAGGAACGAAGTGGCAATTCGCACGGTATAAACGATGGTGTGGCCGATTAACCGTACAAGCAGGCAAGAAAAAAAGAAAAAAAATGGTGGTATTTGAACCCGGGATGTTTACACTTACCGATGACGGTGAGCAGGCCTGTCTGCAACCCCGTGTGGAAGGTGGGTGCGTCGGCCGAGACCTCGCACCGGTAGTAGGCGGGCGGCTGGCGGCCCACGTCCTGGATCGTCACCCTGTTGGCGTCCGACCGGCTCACCTGTCAACACACAGGCACGCTGTCAAACAACAGGCAGGCAGACAGACAGGCAAACAGACAGGCAAACGGACAGACCGACAGGTAGACAGGCAAGCAGCACGGAGCGCCCGGCGGGTAGGCAACACAACGCACTGCCGCTCTGCGGGCTGGCCTACCCTCGCCATTGCAGGCGCGGAGCCCGGAGCACAGAAGAAAAGGGGAACTAAGGAGGAGGAGGAAGAGGAAAAAGAAGAAGAAGAAGAAGAAAAAGAAAGAAAAAGAAAGAAGAAAGAAAGAAGAAGAAAGAAAAAAGAAGAAGAAGAGAAAAAAGAAGAAAGGGAAAAGAAAGAAGAGGGAAAAAGAAGAAGAAGAAGAAGAAGAGAAGAAGAAGAAAGAAGAAGAAGAAGAAGAAGAGGAAAAAGAAGAAGAAGAAAGAAGAAGAAAGAAGAAGAAGAAGAAGAAGAAGAAGAAGAAGAAGAAGAAGAAGAAGAAGAAGAACGCTGTTTACCTGTTTGTCACACCTTTCCCCCTGACGTCCCCCAATTAATGACCATAATCCCGGCGGACACACAGGGTTGGATTAAATCAACTTTCCTGCACCACAGTACATAAATCATCCTGGGTCACCGCGCCGCCGCCCGCGCCATGCCAGGCCGAGACCCAGGCCGAGACCCAGGCCGGGACGGTGACTTGGCGACCCAGGTGGGGGAGTAGACGCCGGCCTCAAGGCAAAAATATTTCTAAAAACATTGAGCTAAATGTTTTAAAAGTATAAAAACAAATTGTTTTGAGCGTATTTGAACCACCGAACCGCCGAGTGGAAATCACACGCCTCTAACCGCTGAGCTAACGGAGGGCGGCAAGAGGGTTTCCGACTGGCGGGATGTCTCGCGGCGACGCGACGCCGATTTCATTACTGACGGGGAAAAAAACAACAAAAACGCGACGCGACGCACTCCCCGCAGACATACTCCGGAGATTGGAGAACAAGAAGAAGGGGACAGAACTGCAGCAGTGCGCCATCCGTCTTGGGTCGAGGCCCAGGCAGCCGCCAGCCAGCCAGCAGCCAGCCCACAGTGGGCCAGAAGACCGGTGGAGGCGGCCAAAACTCTAGACGCGTTTCGAGCTCCAGAGTCACTACACTGGCCTCGAACCTAACGTGTGACCCCACCAATGGATTCCTCGTTCGGAGGGCAATCCATTGGTGGGGTCACACGTTCGGTTCGGGTCACGTACAGCGACTCTGGAGCTTAAAACGCGTCTAGAGTTTTGGCCGCCTCCACCGGTCTTCTAGCCCACTGTGCAACCAGCAGTCCTGCCACCGCCTTCTCAGCGGCACACTCCTCATCGCGGTCGTCGCCATGTTTCAGGAAGGCGGTGCTGCGGCTTGCCAAAGGAATATATCCCGATCGCCGCGGCGTCGCCATCGAACGTCTGATTTACAAACTGTCGCGAGGGTCTCTCTCTCTCTCTCTCTCTCTCTCTCTCTCTCTCTCTCTCTTCTTTAGGAGGTCGACGGGCGGCGCGGACAGCGCGACGCGTCCCACCAGCTTCACGTGGCGGGGGCATTGTTTGCGGGCTGGGCGGGGCGTGGAGGGCGAGGCACTCAAAACAACAACAACAGCATTGGATCAAAAAAAAACTTTAAACTCTTAAACATTAATTTTTTAAAAAAAATTTGATGTTCTTGTTTACAAAAACAGTTTTATTTTCTGTTTAAACAATTAGGCCTCAACATTCCTTTCATTATATATTCTTCAGAAAATCTTCAGAAAAAAAAAGTATTTGCCAAAGCCTCATATCCTTGGGGGGCTTGGGCGCGGTCTTGGCGGCCTTGGGCGCGGCCTTGGGGGCCTTGTTTGGCGCGAATCTGGTGCCTTTTACGATGCCGACACGCACATGCTGTTTTCGGCAGCAAGCTGTTAACCCAGGGCCAATTTCCTTGCTGAATTAGTCATGCCGCATCGAGACGCGCCTTCTGTCTGTCTGTCTGACGCGTTTAGAGCTCCAGAGTCGCTAAATGGGACTCGAACCGAACGTGTGACCCCACCAATGGATTCCTCGTTCGGAGAGCAATCCATTGGTGGGGTCACACGTTCGGTTCGAGTCCCATTTAGCGACTCTAGAGCTCAAAACGCGTCTAGAGTTTTGGCCGCCTTCACCGGTCTTCTGGCCCACTGTGCTACGGCGTGCTCCGCCTTGTCGCGATCCGTCTTCCGGGGCCGTCGATAAGCCGAGAGGGCGGCCAGGGGGGCGGTTTTAATTTTCTTAGCAGGCGGTGTTGAGTCGATGTAGCAGGCCGTGGAGTCGGCAGTCAAGGTGGAGAGCGTGGTGGGCGTGGCCCTGCGCGGCGGCCGGGAAGAGGCACGCCGCCACCCTCCAAATCTCGCTATTACCGAACTGTCAGCGAGGATACAAACGTACTGTGTCTTCCAGCCCTGGCGTAGCCCTTCCCCGGAGCGGCGTAGCCCTAGCGCAGCCCTCGCGTAGCCTGCGTGGCTGTGGGGCACAGTGGGTCAGAAGACCGGCGGAGGCGGACTAAACTCTAGACGCGTTTTGTGCTCCAGAGTCGCTTAGCAGGACTCAAACCGTACGTGTGACCCCATCAATGGATTCCTAGTTCGAAGAGCAATCCATCGGTGGGGTCACCTGTTCGGTTCGAGTCCCATTTAGCGACAGTGGAGCTTAAAGCGCGTCTGGAGTTTTGGCCGCCCCCACCGGTCTTCTGGCCCACTGTGTGGGGCTAGCAGCGGGCCTGGCCCAGCCAACACCGAGTCTTGCACAAACAGCCGTCAAACTTACCGCCCCCGTTTCGCTCTTTGCCCCCAGATTTATACTTTCCACATCCTTCGGGGACGCACGCACAGTGGGCCAGAAGACTAGTGGAGGCGGTCAAAATCCCGGACGCGTTTTGAGCTCCAGAGTCGCTAAATGGCATTCGAAACAAACGTATGACCCCACCAATGGATTGCTCTCCGAACGAGGAATCCATTGGTGAGGTATTTGAACTACGAATATTGGTTCACACCGTCTCCTCTAGCCATTCACTCACCTACACCTGTCGCAAAAAAGTGAAACAGCGTTAGCCTTTCTACCCGTTATCCTGCCGGCCGGTGCCGAGCCGGCACTCCCCAGTCCCACTCGCACAAAGGCGCACCTGGTTGAATGATATTAAAATTTCACGCCGCGCGCTGCGTCTGGCGTCGCGTTCGCGTTTCGCGCTGCGAGCGCCTCGCTCGGCTTCGCTTCGGTTTCCGGAACGGTCCGAATCGGAGCAATAATGTTCCCGCACCGCGTTTGCTTCCAGCTGCCTGGCCACGCACAGTGTGAGTGTGTGTGTGTGTGTGTGTGTGTGTCGTTATGGTGGAACTTGTTATACAGCATTTATTGATCATTATTCACTGTAACGAGAAGGTGCACATGGAGGTAGAGGATAATAAGGAGATGGGGCGGGGGAGTGCGTGAGAGAGAGAGAGAGAGAGAGAGAGAGAGAGAGAGAGAGAGAGAGAGAGAGAGAGAGAGAGAGAGACGCAAGCCAAGTGGCGGCTCTAATGGGCTGTTACAGCACTGTACCTCCATCTCTCTCTCTCCTTCTCTCTTCTATTGACGCTTCTAAATCGTCTCTGGAGCACCTTTCAAATATTTGCCGGCTGGGGCGCTGCCCCGCGCTGCCCTGCGGCCCCTTGAAGGGCCTCGGAAGTGGTGAAATCGCAGCCAATCTAATGAAGGGCGAAGGCGGGGTGAAAGCAAGGGCGCGGGGCGAAGAGCCATCGGGGGAAGCGCCGCGCCTTGTCGCTTGAGACTGGCGAGCAACCAACAGATTGCCTAAACAAATTGCGTTACGATGCACCGTTTAAAAATAACACTCTGTTGGAAAATTGAAAAAAAAGCAAAACAAAAAAAAAGAAGGAAACATATGTTTTTTAAAAAAATGCGGTGGTGACAATATAAGTTAGGTCTTTCGGGTTAAGTGACTCCTCCTTCGTCCGCACGGCTGCGCAGAATCTTAAAGACAAGGGTCTTAAATTTTGCCTGAATTCTTAAAAAAATTAAGTGAACCTGTTTCGAAACATCAACGCTGGAACTAAGCGTCATCGCTCGGGCCACTGCCCAGGGAAACGAGCTTCGGCGGAAACGCCTTCCCGAGCAACGTCACCCCGTTTTTGTCACAACGAATAATTCGGAAGGCTTTAAGCGAATGATTTATTCGACTTGTGGGCAAGCCCGGCAGGCTGTTCCCCCCCCTCTCTCTCTCTCTCTCTCTCTCTCTCTCTCTCTCTCTCTCTCTCTCTCTCTCTCTCTCTCTCTCTCTCTCTCTCGGTGACCGTCGTCCCTCTCGAAGTGAGCGGGCTTACCGAGTTGCCAAGTGTAAGACAGCCAAAGCGCACTTGGCATGATTTAGAGCAGGCACATTGCTCGATTGGTTAATTATTCCGGTGTAGTGGCGCTATCTGCCGGCCACCGCGTGCACCCTGCAGGCCAGCCAGCCCCATCGCCTGGGGTTCGAGTCCCGGCCGGGGCACTGCACAGCAAGACAAAAAAAAAAAAAGGAATCGAACCCGCGCTTGCGGGCATAAATAAACTACAAAAAGACGTTGCCGCCCTGGTGCGTTGCTGCTGGAGCGCAGAGAATGGCCTGCTGCAGTGGGAACCGTCAATAATCCTAAGATCCATCATTCAGGGATATAACGCTTCTGTTAGAGGGAGAGAGAGAGAGAGAGAGAGAGAGAGAGAGAGAGAGAGAGAGAGAGAGAGAGAGAGAGCGGAGAGCGTGTCTCACACACACGGATGTGGGATAGACTAACGACTCGATGACCAGCGATTATTCGAGGTGTGTGTGTGTGTGTCTTTCTCCATCAGACCGTTTCCGAATATGCAGCCCCCCCCTCTTTTTTCGTGGCAGAGAAAGGGCAAGCGGACAACGCGAGGGGCACCTATTAAAATTTTTATTGGAGGAAGGATTACGCAAGAACGTATAGCCCTTCTGGAGGGCCGCTGGCCACATTTGTTAAGCGAGATTA